ATGCGAAAGTAATGATTAAATATTTGAAAGATCTAAAAAGAGTAAATTGTACAGAAAATTTTCCGTATATTTTCATTATTGGAATTGGAAACTAAAAGTTAAAACTTTTATTCATATATCACCGTATAGACCAAAATTTATCCTACAAAAGATATTATTTGACTTTCTTTTAACTTTCCAATAAGGTAGCTACATTTTCATTTTTCTCTGACCCTCATTTTGGAAAAAATGATTTTTTGACAAAAGTACGTTTCGCGTGAAAAAGCAGCTCTTGAAAAATGCTTATAGATCTTCAAACTATAACTTAGCGTGACACCACATTTTGTAAAGAAGTTCTTCCTCTATAAAATTACTGACTCCGACAAATTTTAACATCTTCGTCAAGAGACTTATGAGATCTAATATAGACACATAATGTCTGAGTCCATATTCGGAAAGAGCATATAAAATTCTGGTTATTATTAATTATTCTCGATTGTCCCTAGTTGCTTTTAAATGACCGGAAAAAAAACGAACATTCTGTGCCAAAACTTTCGCACAGTAGGTTAAGTAGAGAGTTTGTAGTTCTTTTTTTAAGTTTTTTCTCATGAGGTAATCGAACATTCCTATTAAAGTATTCTACTTGATATCTTTTAGGGTGTAACTAAATTCTTGTATTTTGTTTGTTTTGCATAAGAGAATGATGGTTTGATAAAAAATTTAAACTACAAATAAGACTAGAACTACTAAATCTATATTGACAACTCTTAATTATTGAATTTTTCAATTTCACTATATATATATATATATATATATATATGCTAATTGAAAGTTAAATATTCCTATTTATTCGGGTAAGTTGAAGTAAACAAATGAAATGATTTAAAATAATCTATGCCATAAGCTTCGTGTTCACAATTGAAATTGAAATTTTAGAAAATAAAAACTCAAACAAGAATTAAGGATAGTTTTAATAGAATAATCAAATGGATAAAATTTTTGGTAAATACGATAGATACATTAGTATAACACATTTTATATTAATAGGTGATTGATGATCACTTTTTTTCTGATACGATGTATACAAAGCATATATATGTATTGAGAAAAAAAAACGATATAATTCATTTGTTTTTCTATAAAATTCATTGAAATAAGTTATTGAATAATTCTGTCAGATAATATTCGTTTTTCATTATTAATCATTTTTTCTATTTATTAAAATATTTTTTTATTCATTTATTTTAATAAATCAATATTTATATACTGAATAACATAGTGTTTTTTTTTCTCAAACAAAAAAAAAAACAAAATACATAAAAAAATTGAATGTTTCCTTTGTGAATATACTCCTCTCTATATAATAGTTGATTGATGAAAATCTCTACTATAGATTTAATATGAGTGTAACGTAACATAAGATTAAAATGCAATATATTTGAATATATAAATATAATGTGAAATATTTTGACTGAACTTGATATAATATAATGATTTTTATTTTCTAAAGATATCTCTTACAGAAGATATAAACAACTAATTATATATTAATTCTAATCAATAATAAAACTATTGTTTAATTTTTTCATTTTATCTTCGTGTCTTATAATTAAAGTTAAATTATATTCATAAACATTTTCATAATTCAATTTATTTTTTAATTAAATTAAAATTTCAAAGTATAAAAAGTAAATATTCTAATAAAATGTTGTAGAACAATTCAATGAAGTTGACTTGATATATGCATACAATGACATAGATTAAAAATAATCATATAATATAACATCGAACTATTCTATTAGAATTTCTTTTTATTGAAAAATCTCATGAAAGATAACATTTCTTTGTTTAGAATAAATATTTCATTATTTTCTAGTAAGACAAAAAAAAATCAAAGATTTGAATATATAGATCTTAATTAACTTGATTCATTTCTACTTTTTAAAAAATTTTACCCTAAATTATTTATTCTCTCCTGAATTAATATTGAATTTCTTTTTATCAAAATGTTTGTTTACAAATAATTCAAAAGATGTTTCTATATAAGGATTTAATTGATATTTTGTAAAAATTATTTCAACAACAATTAGACGTTCATCTTCTTTTTATATTCGTTAGATTGAAAGATATTTTATTTCTCGTCTTTTTTCATTAGTTTTCATGGTCAGTTTATATTAAATTAGATAAAAAATATTGCTCCAATTCTTCTCTATGTGTACGAAATATTTCAAATCTTTCCATTTAACTAATCAGTTTTTCTTCTTGCACTTCCATGTTATAATTTGAAAATTTTCTACGTATAAATCTTAATAATTTTTCAAAAGACAAGAAAATTTGGAATGAGAATATTTAGGAATAACTGAAAAAAGAAAAACTAATTCATGTCATAATTGAAATATGATTTCATTCTATTTTATTCCTGAGAAGAAAGTCAAAAAAATTCAAACAATATTAAGTCATTGGTGAATTATCATTATCAAATTTCACTATAAAGATTCTTTTTTTTCCTTTCAAGATTAATAAAATAAGAGAAAAAACAGTAAGGATAAATGATTTGACTAAATACTTGATAATACATAGAAAAAGAATATGTAATAAACATATACTTAACATAAAACAAGTTAATTATCATATAATCATAAATATTGATTTTATTTGTGTAATACTTTTTCATTGATAATTATATATATTCATTTATTTTATCTGAATAATCTATAATAATCTAACATGCGAAAAACAAATAAAATTCTATATGGAAATATTTGAAGATATTGATATAATAAACTAATATCTACTTGTTATGTTGATAATAGAGCTGAAAATTTTAAGAATATATAATGTGAGGATGTTATTATTGATGAAATCTATCAATTATCTCTTGTTCTACATAAATATATTTATTATTTAATGAATGAATTCTTTTTTATTTGTTCGTTTTTATCATATAAAGATAAATGCAACTACTAAAACAAGATTAATTCTATATAAGGTGTCGTGTGTGTGTTTATTTTTTCTTTATTTATACTTGCATCTACACACACACACACATCCTGCTTGAACTTTGGATCATTTCTGCTGACAGCTTGGGTCATCATGACCTACTTCATAACACTTTTGACACTTCAAAGCCGTACATTCAGCTTTGATATGTCCGGCTAATTTGCACCGGTAACATACCTTTTCACGACCTTCCAATTGTACCGTGACGTTAAATCCGCCAAATCGAAATGAGATTGGAACTTTATTCTCATCCTGACGAGATGGAAGACGTATACGAACGCGGCGTACGAAGGATTTGATTGCTTCGAAGGGACGTGGCAATCTTTCAGCATCAACGCTTAAAACGACGCCGCCCCAATTGGATGCAATGGTTCGAATATCCTCATCAGGTACTGATGTAGGTAAATTTAATAGACGAACGATTTTAACATGTTTATATGGTTCACTAATTAAAAAGGTTTGATCACCAATCTTCAATTCAGGAACCTTGAGAACGTCTTCACGAGCAGTTTTCGTTTTAAAAATTACGTACCATTCCGACAAATCGCCGAGATTTCCTAATGAATCAATATTCGTGATGGTAGTAATTTGTCCGAGAGCAGTTATAATCGCTGTTCTATCAATACGTTCACTTCCACGAATAAGCGTAAGTAACACGGCTTCACGTAATAGCTCGTGTACTGGCATCGTATACTATTAAATTGGAATCAGACTAATTTCTAGGCGTGAACGATACGCACGCACCGACTAATAGTTTGATCAAATAGAAGAATAACAGCACACAATGATGATAAACACGTGTACAATGTAACAAAAAAATACGCTTTACAATTCTTTTAATTGTTGGTATAATGAATGAATGTGAGAGTTTCGATAGATTACAATCACTAATCACCAAAAGAATCGATCAGAATTGATCATTTACCTCTTGGTAAGTTGTAATAAGCAACTTTTCTCGGCAGTATGAAGGGCACGACACCCTTTCTGTTCTTATACATTTCATCTTTGCAATAGTTTCTTTCGTTTTATTCATCAAGAATATGCACATCAACTAATCATTATTATATTTATCTCGACAAGTATATTTCATCGATTTTTTCATAGGACCGGAAAGTTCTCTGATAGACTTTGTCTTAAAGTCTCTCTTTTTTGAGATTTTAATTAAGTAATACTGTCTTGAATCCTATTTATTTGTCTTGATTTCTTTTCACCACTTTTTAGCAAGTTCTGTATTAAGATTTCTTGAAATTCACCTCTTACGTTTGACATGACTATATAACTAGGTTCTAAGAAGCTTTCAGCAAATTTACATAAGGATATGCTAGAAATCTGCATCTTCGTATACTATCCAAGTTCGAATGCTTCATCAAATTTATCAAAATCATGCTACAGACTTTGTCAGATTAACCATTGCCAATTGTTTAAAAGACAATATTAACCCACGTCCGATATTTGAATGAGATTGTACATTATCGACATTGTACAAAAAATTGGTGACTTATCAAGACATATCAAAAGAATAGTTCACAGTTGAAAAGCGATGAGTTGCGGACATTCATTGGTGACTCTAATTCTTTTTTTTTTGATCAATCGATGGTTTTAAAAATAAAAGCATATCAAGGTGATAGAGTTTTTCTTCCATGAACGAGAACATAATTGAAAACGAAATTGAAAATAGATTTATTTTTATGAATTGATCATTTTAATCATATTGGTGTCAAAAGTCACACAACATACAATTGTTTCTTTTATTATCCATTGATTAAATATCGAACATGGAGACTAGAATAGAAATAGTAATCTAAAGTTGAAACAAAAATGACAATGATAGAAGATGTTATCGTATAGAATTGCAATAGATGTTTTCAATTTACATGAATTTAAAATAGAAGGACTCATTTGAAAAACAGTTCTCAAGTTGTCTTTATTATAAACTATATCATTGAAAATAAATAAATGTCAAAACAAAAAAAATGTGTTCTATATTTAAGGTTATACTATTTGTTATTTTTATGAATTTATTTTGAAAAGACTCTTTTAATTGTATAGCTGTTGTTTTATTCAACAGCAATCTCAATGAGGAATCAATACATTACTGTTGTGTATTTTCAATATGAATTAGTTAAAAGCTAGAATGAATGAACATGACAGCTTTCTTCAAAAGAACTATTTAAAATAATACATTTTTTTTACAATTAGTTCGCACACAATATTCTCTTCAAACAAAGCCTATTCATAAGTTCTCAATTCAGTACCGAATCATGGACGAATACCAATAATTGCAATGTCTGTTTTATTTCGGATATTTTTAGGAACATGTGCAAAGATCCTCTTAATCTAACACACACTATTTGTTTATCGATAGAAAAATCAACAGAAAAAAAGTACAATTTTGATTTAGCGAAAATTTAGAATATATCATGATTTTTTAAATACTTTTTTTTCAATATTTCGAAATCTTACCTATTGTTCATGGAATATTGTTGCATTACAAACTATCAAATTCTTCCATCATCTTTTACTTCTTTTTCTCACAAGAACAACAAGAAATTCTTCTACGATACCTTTACATACAAAAAAAGCGTCACTATTGAACTACCATCGATTCTCACCAGGCATATCATAATAAGAATTTAGTTTCTACCTAAAGACCTCCTCTTGTACTATACGGCGTTGTTTATGAAACACCCCGTCTCATAAACAACGTGTAAAGACAAAGAACATGTCGTGCTCTTCATACTGGCGAGTATAGTTGCTTATTACAACTTACCAAGAGGTAAATGATCAATTCTGATCAAACACATGTTGCGATGACGAAAACGTGTGGGTTGATAGCGACATTGACCTGCCAGAGCAACATATTATTGTTAACAGAAAAATTATATCCTTGGCTAGATCCTGTTCTCGTTGTCTTTGTCAGTATGTTTATAGCTATTGCTCTATTGGTTTTCTATGCTTTCGCCGTTGTAATTTTTGAAATAGAAATAATAGAAAATATCTTATTTTATGTGCATCAAACAAAGCTTGAACATTGTGTCAGTAATGTTTTTGATAGGGAAATTGTTTTCGGTATTAGATTTTAAGAACAAAATGAAGACAGAATACTTTTTTAATATGCTGTTATTAACGATGGAAGAATGTAAACGTTTTTCTTTTCACACTGGCAAGGATTTGAAAAAATAATTTAAATGGAAAGAAATTTTAAATCAAATGATAACAATTGATAGTCGAAATTCTAAAAATTATATGTTCCGATAACTATTAAACGTAATTATTTCATTGTGTTCAGAATATTTTTTTGATTAAATTTCATTATATTGAAATAGTAATGATTTCTTGTTCGAAAAGACATGCTTCAAAAAAAAATGATGAACTTATTTAATGTTGATTTTTATCTGCCTAAAAAGAAAGTCTTTGTATTATATTTTTATTCTTTGGGTAGTTTTTGCTATGTGTAAATCTATAAATAAAGATAGAAAATTATTCTTTTGGATGTTTCATCATAGATTAAATTGGTTAAACCAAGGGAATAGTCGTAATTTTTGGTCATAGTTATAGTGATCAATCTTATTGAAATATAGTTTAATGATATTTAATAGGAAAGAAAAGTTTAGGTGTCTTCCATTATTAAGAAGCAGAATAGTTCTGATTAATTTTTTAATTTCAAAAATTTCAATTGGCTATAATTGAAATGAAATGAATTTGATATTTTTAATTATGATCATCTATGTTTGTGTTTATTTTATATAACTTTTTGTATCAGGTAATTAGTTTTGTTTGTACAGAAGCTGAGTTTAATTATAATTAATATTAGTCATATCAATGCTCTAAGAGAAGTACAACGTCAGTAAGCACAAATGAGTCACAGTCCAGCTTTTTCCTTCTGATTCATATAGACAGCTCTTTTTTTCTGTTTATTTTTAACCTGTAGGGAAAAAGTAACTGAATCTTGTCTTTTCATGCTTGTCAATATAATCTAACGAGGAGCAACACAAACATTAGAAGAAGAGCTACTACTACGATAAGTTATCATAGATATAAAAGAATAACTTGATATGTAGTCATTTTATGTTAAAATAAAATGAAAAATAGATATTATTTTCATATATACATTCACAGTCAACAAATACATATGAACTTCAGAGAAATACATAGAAAAAAAGGAAAAAAAGCTGTCAGAAAATACTCTAAAAATACTCAGTTTCAATTGTAAAGAGTAAATAAATGAATATTTATTTATTTTATTCGACAATTTTGATTAAATGAAATTAATTATTCTTTCAATTTGATTGAATCTACTAAACCATTGAAAAAAATGGCTTGATTTAAATTTCTCGATTGTTATTAACAACGATTGATTTTTTTCAGAAGTAATATAATTCAAACCACAGACATTGCAACATTACAACAATCGACAACTGTGAATCAATCAAATATTGAACTGTTTGACAATCAATTCACTCATGAGTCTATATTGTTGTTTTACCTTAGATGAAGAGAAAAGAATTTGATTAATGAAAACCAATCGAATTTTCCATTTTATTTAACTTTTGAGAATATAATTCATTTATATTGGAATCATGTTATATCTGTCGACAAAGTACAAAAGTTGATGACTCTCATTATTAATTGATGCTAGGAAAAAAAAGGTGGCTAAAATTTTTAACATGAATTAGTCAGCCAAACAAGACTAATATCTTAAATATGTATTTATTAAAAATGAAGTTATTTGTTTTGAAATGATGAATTCTAAATGTAGGATAAAATTTTTCACGATCAAAACAATAATATTCAATACATCGTCAGATATTTAGAGATATTTTTGTGACATAAACATTTCTTATATGATTGTTATTTAATGTTTCACACACATACAACATAAGAAAACCTTGTGAATGATTACCAAAAGATTGTTCTTTTTGTTTTTTATTCTGTATTTCATCTCAATTTGATTACTCATTATAGTTTAATATATATATACTATTCGAATATTCTCTATGTTTGTTTATTCATTGTCATTCCATTAAAGTATCTATTTTCATCTTGTATCACATAAATGAAAAAGTAATAAAGACTCAAAAAATATAAAAAGTAAATACAAGAAATATATGTCCGTTTCTCTAATACTGTTCAATTGAAAAGGAAAGCCAAGTAGTTCGTACTTGAACTCTATGCAATTTTAAATGAAATAAAAACTTGTTTTTTCTTTCGATTCCGTTAATTGGCTTCGAAGATAGCAATCTATTTCAAAGAAAACTGTACATTTAGTTGATTTTGTAACACAAGTTTAACTAACTAATTAATATCTGTACATAATTGTTATTTTCCTTTCTTCTGATTCAAGATATAAAATAATACATTTCAAGTAAGAAAAGAAAACACCATTTTCATTTTATACTTTCAACTATATTATGATTTCTATATCATGAAGAAAACAGGAGTAGATGACGCTCGATAGTACTGTAATATCGGGCCGATCTGTAGCATGTCTCTATTATTGTTAAACTGATCTTAATCATATGCCAACAATTCATTCGAAAAAGTCCAACTTTTACAATCAGTGTCGACTTTCAAACCGACGAAAACAGATACTAAACTTTGGTATTCGCCTAAAAGATAACACAAATGTTCGAACTCATTCTGAAATTAGGCATTTGATATTTTCTAATATTTTTGCAATCATATTC